ACACGTTTTAAACATATTAAAAAGTTTTTCTAGGCGGAATATGGAACTTGTAAGTCAAGTTTAGAAAGTCGAAAACATTTAAAGGATTAACTTAATTTTTTTGTACTTTTTTTTCCAATTATTGCTATTTTTTCAACAATAACCATTAAATTTTCAATTTCTAGCTAACAAAATATTGTGTAAAATTTAATAACGAAACTTTTAACCACTTATAATTTTTTCTCTAAGATCAATATTTTTCGAATTATAAATGAAAATAGGAGCAAAAAAATGAGAAATTTTCAATTGTTTTCAGATTTTGTTAAATAAAAAATTTAGCACAGGATTTGCGACTGGCGCATATCGTGATTATCGATACTGGGCATATCCTGAAGGGATTCCAGCAAAGAAATAGCTTCCCTCGAAAATTTCCATTATGGTCTGAATTTCTACAGATGCCGCCTAGTCTATTAGATATTTGCCTCGTTCAGAAATATGATTTTTGATATTATCGAGTTGGGCATGGTTGATCCGGAGGTTCATTGTATCGAGCGTCATCAAAGGTCAAACACATCTTCTTTAAAGCGAATTTTTAGTTTTAGCATATAAAATTTACTTGGGTGTAAATCTGGGCGGATCGTGAAAAAATAACATTTAGATGTGGCATATTTTTGCAGAAAAAGTTATGTGATAACTTTTGTAATAATAATCGACTTATCCTCCCTCTCAAATAGGTCGGAAATATTATTCAAAAAATTAAAATCTTTAAAACTTCAAATCAAATCAAAAAAATCGTTTTTTTTTTTCTACTTATGTTTGCTTATTACTCCAGTCATCAGAATGTGGCGCAGTTTTCGCCATTTTTTATGATTCTCATGAGATCAATACAATTTATCCCTTTCATTGACCAGCCAATATGAAGTTTCGATTACTAGAGCCTAATCTTCAAAACCTATAGCATGAAATTTTAGTTTTGAGTTTTTGCAACAAATGTGAGACATTAGCATATGTTTAAAAACGCTGAATTTAAACTTTCAACATTACAAACAATCTAAAACATTTAAAACTGCTCTTTTTCAATTATGCTAGTACGTTTTTCAAAATTATTTAACCTATGTTACAAATTACACCCTAAACCGTGTTCTTGAAGGCATTTCCCTTGACGTGCGATCATTTGTAATTTGTAAAACTTTAAAATTTGCGTTTTTTAGTAATTTTTCAAATGTCTCATATTTGTTTTCACAACTCAAAATTGAAATTTCATGTTATAAGATTGGTCTCTAAAAATGGAAATTTTACTACGGCTGGTCAATAAAAATGATACATTTTTTTAATCTCACGAAAATCGAAAAAAATTGCAAAAATCGCGCAAAAAACTTTTTTTAATGGACATATTTATAAAAACAATTTAGAAAAAAAAATAATTACGAGCGGTGGTTCCTGAGAAATTCTGAGTGGTTCCTGAGATACAACCGGTCAAAGTTGACCGACATTTGCGACCAAGTTGTAAATAGGATAATAATTTTTGAACCATTAGCTTTTTCTTTCTGAACTCTTTCTCAATAAAAATTTTCATATTTTCAAGATATTCATAACATAAGTACATATATTTTAATAATAAAAACGAACTCGTTAAAAACACCAAGGTTGAAGTGGGAGCAATAATGCTGCTTAGTAATAAATAAAGGCAGGTATGTCTGTGTATTACGGGGTTCATAAAAACACCTTGTAACATTTTTTTTTATATTTAAAATATAAATTATTTTTATTCCTTTTACCCCCTGATGATACGCCGATGATCGTGTGTACGATTAGGAATTTTTATTGTTAAACTACCGAAATATGACGGAAGAATCTACCTACCAAACTATCACGGAATTTCCCTGAGTACAAAATGTTTTTAATCCTTTCCGTCTTAATCCTGAGTATGAAAGGAACTAATGCTTTTCGGTGAAGGCGGGTCCTTTATGATAGATTTGTAAATATTCCGAAGGCACGTATAGTAATTTTTCTGTAAAGACCCAATCTACAAGATTTATATTTTATCACTTCCAATTACTAGTACCGTAAATACCTCAAACTTTCCGATATCGTTAGAATCTTAGAAATACAACTGGTCCATGATTTTTAAGTGGGAGATATCCCTTCTTCTTTTTTTGGGGTAGTTTGGTAAATTTTTGTAGAAGAAAGAATTACTTCTGGGTGGGCTCTCGTTGAGTAAAGGCTCACATTATCGTATCTGTTATCTTACCGTATGTGAACTGTTTTCTAAGTGTGTATACACTTTATATTTGAGTTTTTTTCTAATACTATATTAGATTAAATATAGTTATAAAGTACCTTCAATGTTAATTAAATTCAGTGTTTAATACAAGTATAGTATTAGCTTCAGTGAATTAGTGCAGCAACCATCAGGAATTACTGTAAGTTACCATAATCTTAGTATCTCCGCTTATATGGGCGGAGTCCATCAAAGTTATCCATTTCTTTAAATGTAGTTGAGAGTAACTACTGAATTTTGTATTCAATTTAAAGAACATTCTATATTTTTTTACGAACTTTTTATCAGCTACTAAGAAATTTCAATAAATAATAATTATGAACATTTAAGTCTCAGTTTATCATTAAATAATAGTGCGAAGCAAATAATCGACTTAACCAAGTGCGGTTTGGTTAAAGTTTTATGTCTGTAACCTTTTTGTATTCTTGTAAATTTAGATTTGATTAATTTTTGTTATTTGCTATAATTGTTATTCATTTTTTTTGTAATATCTCAAGATACACCCACAATACTTTATTTGTGCATGATTGTATTATATATCTTTGTACAGGTATTTTCTAATTATTTTACTGCTTATTTTTATATGTATACCACCATTTCATAAGTGATGGTGTATTTTTATCTTATGTGTACATTCAGCTACCGATATTGTTTTGTTATTGAATATATTCTTTTTGTTTTATGTACGCATTTTATTTGTCGACTCCTAACAAGTTTCCTGATATAACCATAACTCTGAATATTTGCTTTTTACCTTTAATTATTACTATACCTTTGACCAGTAGAAAATTCAGGCTGATTAAGTTTCGTAGGTAAGTACGTGTAATACCTAATACATTTATTATTTGTTTATATGGACAGGATATAGGCTTGTGCTCACAATAAAAAGCTAAAGGAGCTAAAAGCAGGTGTCGTAATGAAGCAGCCCATATATTCAACAGTTGTGAGATATAGCTTTGAAATCCCTTTAAAATTAACTTATCAGGCAGGGAAGACTTGAAGGAGCGTGTACCCATACAAGCAGAAGCTACCTGGTCCACTGATGGTTCACAAAACATGAGGGTGTAAGAGCCGGTATAGTAAGCACAAAGTAAGAGATACATTTCCCGGTAATGTCGATCTAAAGATGTCACAATTTTCCAGGCGAAAACAACGGCAATCCATCACTGCGTAGAAGAAATAGAAGCAGCGCTTAAAGCACTTAATTCTAAGCTAGTATGGGATTGTGTGGGTGCCCTAAATAAACTAAGAGGCCGTAGGAAGGTTGCGGCAGCCTAGTACCAGAGCACGAGGGTCATGAGGACAATGAAAAAGCAGATGAAATGGCCAAACAAGGCTCATCAATGCCATCCATTGGACTGGAACCACTTTGCGGCGTTGCAAAGGCAGTAACAAGAACAGCTCAATTTCGCAGATCATTTTGAACGAACGAACGAAAACAAAGCATCTTTAAAAATTACTATTCGCTTAACTGGTCAATGAAAAATGCTTTTAGTCAAGGTCAAATAAAAGTAGAAGACAAAAAGAGAACTTATACCCAAAATCAAAATGCACGTAGGTCTAAAACTCGTGTATATACCGGATGAAAATAGTTGTGACCAAGTGGTATGTAAGAACTTTTTTAAAGACACAGTTTCCATTACAGATGGAAAAATTTCATTAGCTTTACCACGAAAACAAGACCATGGGACACCTCTTCAAGATGCAAGGAGCAAACATTCAATCCATAATAAAACCAATAATATTGAAGACGAGCAGTACTTATGTAGCTTCATTGAACTGTTCCCAGCATACGAATCCCATTACTCCCGATGAGATAACATAAAAAGGAAATATCTTTCATCAACTTTGAACATGTCGATCATGTATCAAGAGTATGAAAAGAAAAATGCACAGAAGACTTAAGAAAGCAAGTCCCTTGAGAATAGGATAACAAATAGAAAAGTTACTATAATTGGTGAAAAAGTTGAATGGCTTAAAATTTAACAGATACAGTATCTTAAAAACGAGCCAAAAAAAATGTATGTAAAATATACAGTACAGGACATGGGTTTGTTTTATGAGGTTGGTTTATGCAAAAAACCAAAGGCCGCCCATCATGTTCTACTGTAATGCACAACCTAGATGTTCTGTATCCAAATGGAAGAGCAATAGCAAAAGAAAAGGATTTAATAGACTTACTTAAGTTTATTCCGCCTGAGTTCCACAGCTTTTATTCTGGATCAAAAGATAGTTCTGATGCATGAAATGAGGGCTTAGAAGAAGGAGTTATACATGAAAATTATAAATATGCACTAAAATAAATTTTTAGCGAATAAGGGAAATTTGTTTTCTGTTTATTTTAATTTTTGTTTTATAGAATTTACTTGTTTTAATTTTCTTTATAACAAATGTGCCTAAACATAGCTTAACACACAAGTTTCTCTAGGAATATATTTTTTTGTAACGGCAAATGTGCCTATACTTTTTGAAGACAATTAGAATAATCAAACTAAGGTGAGATTTTTCCTTAAATGTTGTTTTAAGACATTAGCTTTTCTTTAAAAAAATATCTGTTACATTTTTTTATCTTAAAAATTTTATCTTTTTTATAAGTTAACTTTGACATGATTTATCACAAAAGCTCCTCTTTGTGGATTAGTCACCTTTGCATCTGGGCCACCCATATCATACAGTACAAAATTTTTAGGGGAATAGAAGGAAATTTGGAATAGAAAGGGTTTGATTAAAAAGTCAGAAGAAAAATAAACAACAATTTATTAGGTACTATTCACAACCGCTTAAGCAACGAGACTGGTTGCATTTCTTGGAAAACAATTTTAAGCAACATGTATCACTTAATTTACTGTAAATCTATAATAAATAAGTACCCACTATGCTAAAACTACAAAAATAAATATTAAATGATAGAAGTATAAATCGAAGGCTAACTGTAACAGTACAGTACAACTTTCATCAAGTTAATATCAAAAATTACACATTTCTAACATCGGTACAATCATGTGTAATTTATTTAATAAATTTATACAGCTTTGATATTGAATTGATGAAATAAAATAAAGGTGCAAAGCCTTTTGTAGTTAATTCGAAGTAATCAAATAGGTCTTTTAAATTTTTAGTAATGAATTCTTCTAATGTGTAAAGAAACTTGTAAATATCACACAGCTAATTTCTTTTCTAAAATTCTAAAACAACTTTAACAAGGTTTATGTGATACTTACAATTACCAAGAACAATGTACTTATTATTTTTGTAAAAGCTTTTGTATGTATATATGTATCTGACATTGCAAAAAACACTGTTTTTCACAAAAACAACAAAAAATTAAAAATTATTTAACACTTAGAAATTGGAACTATTTTATATTTCAGCCTTTTAGATTTCAACTTTATTTAGGGGTTATTCGAGCAATATAATATAAATTCTTTAGTCATGTATAATATAAATTATTTTCCTATTTGAGAATCTATACCTGGCAACTCGAGGACATCGACGATGAATGAGAGAAAGATAACAGCCCAACAGAGGCAAAAGTCATCCAAGCTATACAGAAATTGAAAGAAAACAAAGCTCCTAGGGCAGTTGGCATTCCTTCAACACTTTTAAAGCATGGCAAAAAACCTGACATACTGTATATGTAGACTAGTAGAACTGATCTATAAGTAAATAAAGTTGCCAGAAGACTGGAGTGTAGGTATAATTGTACCTATCCACAAGAAATGTGATCAAACAATATGTGACAACTACAGAGGAATAACCCTCCTAAACGTAACATACAAAATATTGGCATATATTCTTTACAATGTGGATTTCGTAAAGAAAGATCAATGACCGATCAAATATTCCTTCTAAGGCAAGCTCTGGAAAAAACATATGAGTATGGCATTGTCACTCATCACCTGTTTGTTGATTTTAGATGTGCCTATGATAGTGTTGAAAGAAACGCACTGTACAAGGCGATGATAGAATTCAGCATATTAGTACACATAATAAAATTGGTGAAAGCGACCCTGTCAAGAGTGTAAAGTTAAAGTGCAGAACGGAGTTTCGAGAACGTTCCAGTCTCAGATAGAACACAGCCTATCATGCCTTCTCTTCAATATTGCACTAGAAAAAGCTATAAGAGAATCTGGAATAACAACCAGAGGAACTATTATTAATCGCAGCATACAATTACAAGCGTACGCCGATGACATCGAAATTATTGCAAGAAGAAAGGCGGACGTGGTCGAATCATTCAAGGCACTTGAAGCAGCAACAAAAAGAATAGGACTAGAGCTTAAAATTGTAACACTAGTAAGACTAAATATATGGAAGTATCAAATTATATACAAGCAGCACAACCCGAAGATCTAACAATCAGAACATATACTTTCAAAGGATTAAGAGAGTTTATATACCTAGGCTTACAAGTTAATCAAAATTATGTTGTAAGTGCAGAAATTAACAGACGAATACATCTGGCAAATAGAGCCTATTATGGATTAAAAAAAAAATTAACAACAACCCTAGTTACAAAAAGAACGAAACTAGTGATATACAGAACTCTTATCAAGCCCATCCTCACCTACGCGTCGGAAACATGGACAATGACAAAGAGCGATGAACAATGTTTAAGATGTTTTGAATGTAAAATCCTCCGGCATATCTGTGGAGGAGTACAGGAGGGCCGATTATGACGTAGACGCTATAATTTCGAACTTTACCGCCTGTATAACAAACCTGATATTATTAGGACCATCAAAATAAACCGGCTGCGGTGGTTAGGTCACATAGAGAGAATGAATGATGGAGCCGCCAAAACATATTTATAACCAAAGAGTAGATGGAGTGAGAAGGAGAGGCAGACCCAAAGCATGATTTAAAGATTAGGTGGAGGAAGACTTGAGAAGGTTGGGATTACTTACGAAACTGGAAAACCGAGGTGAAGAATAGGAGAGAATAGAGACTTATCCTTAAGCAGGTCAAGACACAGCATGGATTGTGGAGCCAATGATGATGATGATACCTGGCAAGTGGAATGAATTCATTTGACTTTAAATGAATGGTTATAGATAAATATTCTGGAAAGTTTTGTTGAAGATATGTAATTTTGAACCAGTTTCCCCTAAACTGTCTAAACATATCCAACGAAAAAAAAAGTACCAAAGAAATAATTATTAAATACTATTCTTATAATCAGAAGATAACCATGTATTACTAAGATTATAGACTATGTTTCAATAAGCAATGCAAGCAATGTAAACAAATATAGAAATTTTTAAAATAATTCTGATGTTATTCTGATTCAATGTTCGAGTACTATTAACTTTAACATTTTATAAATAACAGAAAAAAGAGCAACTATTACAATCAAAAAATTAAAATAATAGCCAATAATGTACAGCAATGTGCTACTTGTTGTACTTCTATAACCTGCATGGCTTATTAGAACAAAACATAGAATCCATATACAATAGTTCCAAAATTCCTAAGCCCATACATTTCTTGTATAATTTTTTCAAAGACATGCAACAAATTTGAAAAATAAATATTAAAATAAACAGCATTTAACCTAATGACTAGGATCTTTTATTTACTTCATACATTCCTATCTGAAGACCATTTTTTTTTATCACAAAACAGTTTAAGTTTTTTCTGCTATATACAAATAGTTGTGACTTAGAGTAATTTTATGGTTTAAATTAACCATGAATGTTTTAAAAATATGATAAGATAGCGAATAAAATATTTATTTTCAAAAAAATTAGTAGCTACTTATATGTAAATAACAATGTAAGTTCCCGATATTGTAACTATGGTGAGTTAGAAAAGTGATAAACCTATATTGCTTATCAATGTTTATATTTCGTATTTTTTATATATCCAATATCAAAATATTCCATATGTATCATAATATGTTATTTCTGTTTATTAATATGCTATAATAAAAGTAATGAACCAAAACATTCATATCTATTAACCAAAAATGAGTAATTTGCTTAATATCCAGTATCTTAGCATTACTTGCAACTCTTTTTATTGTATTAAAAACTGTTTGTCTCTTATAATGATAAAAATATAATAGTTTCCTTGTTTAATCCAGATTCCTTAGCTTTTTTGTTTAAAGTGGCACTGTAAAATGTGAAAAAGTATTTATTTGTTAACCAATAGTATTGAAAAAAGATCAACCATTCAAAAAAATTGCAACAGTAGTTATGTTATAAAGTATTTCAGTATAAAAAGACCCACTGACTAACAATACCTATTCATATCATTAATTTAACTCAGCCATAAGCTATCAAACAAGTATGATAGTAAAGAAGAATATTAACCATTCCCGAAATATCGAATAATAGAGTCATTTTAATATAATATAGTCTAAGTAGTTATAAAATATCTCAAACTGTTTTGTAAGTTCTTTTGAGTTATTTCACAAAGATTCATTCCCTTGAAGCAAGTATCAAGATCAACTCAAATTTGAAGATTCCATTATTTAAATAATTCTTATTCAAGAACTAAATTTTTTTTATTACAAATATCTCATTGGACCTCCTGCAAACATTAAATTATTTGAATGTGTACATTCATCAGTAACTTCAGTTTCTGTAACTGAATCATTTTCAGTAGAGATGTTTTCACTGGACAACAAGAAGTATGAGAGTAGGGAAACATATTGTTAAACTTCTTGTGAAACTTGGGTAACTACTACTAAACTATAATTAACAGCATAGTCTACATTTCACATTAAAAACTAATAACAATATTGAAAAATCAGTAATCTGATATGATATAACCATCCAACTTGAAAGCAATGATTGAAGAAACTGGAAATATTGGAAAGTGCGTGCAAATTCAAAATTATCTGTGAAGGGGTATCAAACCCACTATAACATTCAAATTTTGGACCATCTGAATAATTTGCTGGATCTTGTGCTTCTATCTATTTTCTATAAAGTCAAATGTGCATTAAAATGAACAAGATTTGAGTTTGTTAAATGTGTGAAAGAGAAAACATCATTCCTCCTTAAGGAGCATCTAGAATAAGACTTTCAGCACAGTTTTAAACAATGGAATATATTATAGGTGATAGTAAATAAATTTGTATGAAATCAAAATAAAATGTTTTTCAATGGCAGTCCTTTTATTTAATAGCACACTTCATAATATATCAAACACTTCTGTCTGTACTTCTCTCCTTGTCTTGTTCTTAATACTTGCTAATAAGATTAATAAACCTTGCCAACTGTGGAACAACTCAAGCAATGCAAACTTTGAACAACTAAATATGTATTTTATGCTGGTTGTTAAAAGTATCATGTAAATGGATTTAAATATGCAGACTTTTCAAAAGATACAAAAAACAACATTTTTTTGTCTAGGGAAAACTGTCTTGCAGTTTACTGTATGTTGAATGTAACTTGTATTTACAAACCAAAACATTCTCTGTCACTCTTTTTTTCAATAAACGTCATATAAAAGTAAACAAAATATCTAGATATTGTGCTTAAATATCCCATCCTAATGTGGTGCTGACTTTATAATCATAAAATATATGAAGCAACAATTTCCACAATATACTAAATTTACTAGAATACTTGTTTTCAGATTTTGAATCATTAAAAATCTATTACCCCACATTATCTACTTCACCATCAAACTAAGATTTGGAAATAATTTTGTAAATTATATGTATATCTTTGTAAGAAAACTGTCATAACTTAATTGGGAATAAACAAGTTGAAGGTCAATAATATACACCAAGTTCTGGTACTGGTAACTTAACATTTCAAAAGTTGGGAATATAAAAGTTTTTTATGTTGTTGGCTTTGGCACATTTTCTAGGTGGCAGTGGCTATTTGATTAAAGCAGATTTGGCAACATAATTTATTATAATTTTAATTCACAGTCTATGTTGTTTGAACTATAGATTGATAACAGACTCAGCTAGTTGTGTAACCTGCTATAGTCTTGTAACTTTTTAACTGTAAAAGTATTTGTGTATAAAAAAGTTCTAGTATTTCCATACTACTATAAACAGTACCATGAAACTGCCATAAATGTACAAAATAGCCTCTTATTTGAATCTCTTTTCTTTCTTTTCTACAGTGTTTTTTTTTTCAATTGCAATACATTCTTGACATTCTGATAAATGTTGCCTTTAATATTTCTCCACAGGTATCAGTGGAAAGCCTGCAGTCCTTTCTTGATAGTATACTGATAAGACAAATACCATTATTATTTTGTATTATGTTCTATTTCGATTCAATTGTAATTCTTAATCTATAAACAATATAGAACAGCAAATAACTTGACTGAACTCTTCTTTGGGGGTCAGTGTTATTTGAGAATTACCTCCTTGTTTTTGATAAGTTGTATTGGCTGGAATTTCGAGTTTTAGTTCCAGTAGCATCTAAAGTTGTTACTAACAATACTCCTCTTATATGATCACACACCTATTTACGATCTTGAGCAAGGTCTTTGTTTTAATAAAAGAGAGCAAAGGTAGTTCTGGAAATTTCGAAGTATATTAAATATACAGAGATACAAAGATTATATCCCACAATAGAGATAAAAGATTAATCAAATGATGATATGGTGTCAGAATGTAGTAGAGTAATAGACCACAAATAAATAAAAATACCAAATACCATTGCAATGCTTAAATTTTAGTGAACAAAAGCTCTAATAATAAAAATAAATACCTATATCATGTCCTAGGATCTTTACAAACTAATATACACTGGACAAGTTTATACTGTTGATCAGATTTTTACTCTTTTTTTAAAAGCACCAAACTGTTAGTTGAGATTCAATATGCACATTACCTCATTATTATTTCTCGCCCTGACCATTTGAAAATGTTCATCAAACATAGATCAGTTTCACTTGGTAACTATAATGATTTTAACTATTAAATAGCTTTAAAGTCTACTTCATGTGTTGAGTCAAACAACTACTACAAAATCAAGGATATGTCATGTTATATTCTTATTATAATCGAGAATTCTTTACACCACATACATACCACAAACTACAAAACCACCAAGAAGTAATAAATAAGGAGTAAATAAGGATAATGTATATGTAGAATATTATAAATATGTAGAATTATAAATATTTGTTATTGGCAGAGTACAATACAAGTACAGCAACAAATATATACAAAAAAGGTATCATTTTCTAAACCTCAAGAAGAAATGTTTCACAAAGAAGCTTCTGCCACCAATAAACTTGGAAATTAGTTATCACAGAATTCTGTTATTGGTAATATTTTACTAAAAACAGTGAAGAACATGGAATCATATAATAAACAAAAAACAAACTTTGTCTTCTATAAACTAATGAGAATTTGATAAACTAAACACAGAAATAAAAAAAAGGTGATAAGTAATACAACTGCAAAGAATAAAAGAGCAAAATAATCTAGTACAAAGGAGCAGAAAATTAGCTACAAAAGTCTTTAAAACTCTAAATTATAGTATAAAAATACACAGAGCAAATTTTATGGAATTCTAAAAAATATCTAAGTGACATCTTTACTAGAAATGAAAGTTTAAAATAAAATAAATAAAATGGACAAATAGTAGAAACACAAAGTGTACAACCACAGAAAAACCAGCTTCACTTAAATAAAACTTTTACAACTCAAGAAATTATATAAAAAAAAACTAATAAGGTTTGCCTGCAAACCATCCTCTTTTATAGTAAAATGTTCTAATCAAACTTTTTAAAATTATCTAAAATATGATTCAGCTTGAGTAAACAAATAAATTTGATAAAAACAATTGCAACAAAATTACTTATGTATTGACAAAATATTAAATGTTAAAATTCAAATGTCAAAGTCATGTTTTATTTTAAAAAATATGGTAGGAAACAAGATCAAAAAATATTTTAAAAATATACTTGTCTTTGTTAAAAGATATTTGAGTAAAGATAAAAACAAAATATGGGTTTGCTAAAAGGTAGAGGCTATATTTGAAAATATGTATGACATATCCTGTATTCATTTAGCTTAAATTAAGCATACTATGGAGTCAACATTTTCAATGCTCTAAAAAAAGAAACCGATGTAAAATAGCACTACAATAGAATGTTTGCAATTTTTGGAATGTATCATTAATTTAAATATCCTACTGCACCTTAGATTTTAATAATGGATACTCTGCAGTAACTGGAGCATTCCTAGCTTTGCCCCATTTCTTCTCTCCTGACATGTATGCCTTATAGAAGAATCTTCCAAACAACACAAAATAACTGAAGTACATGGTAATTGACAATTTGATATTAAATGGTGTAATATGGCATTCTGCTTGCTGTTGGAGTAATTGTCTAGCCCATAAATTAACAGCACAACCTATCAACATCTGAAGTAACTGGAGTGAGGTAATAAGCATGGCAATTTGCTTTGGTGGGTTGTATCTCATTGCCTTTAAGGCATAGTAGGAGTACATCACAGAATGGACACAATAATTCATAACAATAAACCATCTAGCACTAGCTGTATACTCAGTGAAACTGAACCAAGAGTATAAAAGCACAGTGATATGGTGATACCAATGAAGGAAGATCAAGGGCTGTTTACGAAGCACTATAAATATAGTATCACCCAATTCTGGCAGTTTACTAAGTACAAACATGAAAGTCCAGAAACCTGACACTCTATCATTTTCAATAAAGGAAGGAATGCATACAGAATGGTACAAACCGTGATGAGTCAATGTGTAGATAAACTCTGGTAAAGTTCTAAAGGCACCCATTATACTAAATGTGGCTAATAGAGTATTCCATATAATCAAAAGACCTCTTAATTCAAATCTAGGCCGGTTCTGCATGAAATATTGTCCTCCAAAAATGAGCACCATGTAAACGCCCACATAATAGAAGCCTGAGGTCCAATTGTCTTGCATCCACGTGCGGCTCTTTTGATGAATGAAATCAGACTCGAAATTAAACATATATGAATAGTTTGGCATTGTAACTTGTGTGTATTCCTTCATGATGTTTGTTGATGATTGACACTCTCACTATGTGGTAATGACCGGTACCGGCACACTTTTTAAAACGGATTAGAAATTTACTTAAATTTTTCACAAACACTTATTACCACCTACCTATTTGACTACTTGCGCTGCTAACTGGAACCTCATCAGCGCACCACTGTTAGCAAGCGATTTTACTCATGTAAGTACGCCCAAAGTGGTCCACACGCTAAATAAATAGTACGTTATTTTTCGACGTAGACTTGCGCCTGCGTTTGACAATTAGCCCGCGGTAAATTAAAATTAAAATATATTTAGTGATATGAGCGTATAATTACACTGATAATTTTGCTTATTATGGTGTTTTACTTTACTTACAATTTCACTGTCAAATAAAGAAGTTTCACCTGCACCTGAATTTAGTTTTATTTAATGCCATAATGTCATTTTCTTCTTCTGTTTGAAATATTCTCCTCTATGCATAAAAAAATACTCTTTTATAAATCTTTTATATTGTTAAATGTTTTTTGGGAAATACATATATATCTAATTAATTCACAATTCTTGTTATCTATCGAAAATAATTCTTACCTTATCGTATGATAGTTACGGTAAGAAAGCCAAAATTATGTAATATCATTATGGAATTGAATTATGTTGACGTAATGGTTGCCTATATGCAGCTACTACAGAGAGACAGTGAAACTTTCTTGTATAAAGGTATGCATTTCCCCTTTTAATTCGCATACTAATATGATCTCATTTAATGTTATTACACTCAATTATGAAGAACTTATGAGATTGTTAATCATTCTCTTCAAAATTATGTGAAATAAATTTAGTCTTAAAACACATTCATAATAATATATGAGCTGGTTTAAAATGAAAAAAGATACTACTCGAAACTTCATGAAAAAACCAGAATGTATTATATAATATATATTTTAACCTTCACCTGAAAAGAAATGATCAAACCGGAAAGTGGATGGTCGATTGCTGAAATATTTCAACAACTTGATGCGAAACTGGACTTAAAATAAATAAATATGGTTCATTGGTAAATCTAGAATACCTACTTACAATAGCAGAAAAATTCGGAAGACAGTAATAATTATAAACAGTAATGGCGTATTAACGATCTTTAATATGTAAGGAAATATATAATAAATATATAATATGTAATAAATGAATATCGACTCTTATATAAGAAATATAAAATTACAAAAATAAACTAATATGAACAAATTAATGGGTTAGAAGAATGGGTTAGATACCAAATATCTTTCGTTGTTTCTTCTCTTCCTTATGATTATTCGATATCGAAGAAATCCTTAAAATAATAATAAATCAATAGAAAACACAGTGAAACCGCATTCGATAACACAATTAAGTATTCTTAAGACGTCAGTGAACGGCTAGGTATCTTTTATTGTACTAAGATAGTAGAAATTTAATATATTACAACCAACAGACTATAGGTTCAATGTAGTATTTAGCCCTTTCTATAATTTTGTTAGTGTCAGAGTTGATGTATCCGCCTTTTTGGTGTGAATGATGTTTTTTTTTTTGCTTTTCACTACAAAAACCAAAAAGTACCTATTGCCTAAGTCGCCGCTTTCAAGAGCCTGAAAAACATGAAGTCGTAGTATCTAGCTAAGTAGCTTTTTTTCGTTTTTATAGAGGGGTTCTGGAATCTTCAAAAGACATCTCAGTCCAGGACGCCGCCTGACTGATCTTAGTGCAGAATTCGTTCTTCGTACTTCCAGTGATAGTTCCCGAGGTACTTTAAAATGCCCTCTCGTCGCCGAGTCTACGCCGAATGCCTACCTGCTAAAACAGACCCTTCTCTGACAGACTACCTTCATTCATTAATTTTCCATTCATCCACATCCACACCCTATTCATCAGCAAGGAGGCTCCCTGTCTCGTTTCAGGTAGCGCTTAGAAGACCCTCATCGCTCCTAGAACGGCATCACTCCCAGACGAGCATTTCCTCGTTCCCCACAGTCTGACTAACGCATTCTATTTCACACAGTCTGACCCACTTTTCTAGCTTCAATTTTAAGCATGTTTCTCTCATACTTTTGCCGTTGGTCCAGCTGTCTTTCTTACTTTTTTTTTTCTTGATCACGGCATTCATCTGTCTCAGCCTTTTCGAACCTAGAGAGATATTCCCTAAAACACCCGTGTCCTATGAGCACCTGCGTCAGGAAATAATCCAGTCGCCTGTGGCCACAGTCCACCCAATCTGTTATGTTTGGGATTGCATTATCATTTTCGTCCACTGTGCCACATCCTCCGTGTTCTTCCATTCTTTTTACCATCTTTCAATTGACCTTTTCTTTTCCTGTCTTCTCTCGGCCATAGTAAGGTTTGGGCCTCTTCTTTCATAGAGCTCTTTTCTTTCCACCGCCAAAACATGTAACGTAACACATCCAGTGACGGTCCACAAGGCTGCCAGAAACACAGTCCTGTAGGCGCATGCCACTCGAAGTATGGCATATAAAGAAGAAGAAAGTCATTGGTTTGGTACCTGTTTGTTAACTGTACAGATGACGATTTGGATGCAATGAGATACAATTTTGATTAATGTTCTAAGATCGGCTTGAGGCATGATGGTGATATAAAAGGTATTCCACTGGGAGTGAGCATGGTGAGACAAAGTCCAAAAAAAGTCTATTGCAAGCAAGCAAGCAATTTAATTAATTCCTGTGCGACATGTTCGGCCCTAAGAATTACGTTCAGGTGTAACAATTCATTGAAACCAGGTGTATTAACTTGAGTAGCAACAGCGCTTCAAAACTCCACCGCTCCAATGCTCCAGAACATCCCTTTTCCCAACTATAACACTCTGATGCGCGATAGGGGCACAACGATCAGCCAAATGCTCTTCATGTGGGAGTCCTGGGTAATAGAACTCCAACGTGGTTTCCTAACCGAATCAAACTCAGAACAGCACATTGTCGCTTTGATCCTGTTATCCTAATGTGGCTTATCCGCGAACTAAAACAGTTCGAAGACTTGTTGCTCAAGGGGTTGGGCCCTACGTGCCCCGGTTTTTGTTAATTTTTTTTGTTGGCTTGCGCCGGTTTTTGTTAGTATTTTTAAATTTTTTTTGGGACCGAGGTCGTTTTTTATGAGTTTTCCTTTGGTTTTTTTTTTGTAGGTTGGCTGCTTTTCTTAGGACGCGAGAGATGCATAGGTATATTAGTATAGGAAGAATTATACTATTTATTAGTCCTTTCGTTCTTCCACTCGATGGCGTTGTTTTACATAGTCACTTGTTCTTCTGGTTGCTAGTGCCTATTTTTGAAAAGTATAGCCTGCGACTTTTCGGAGTTTAAAACTATTTTCATTTAAACTCCATTCTTCTATGTCATCTAATGCTGTTTGTAGGTTGTTTACCGCTAAGTCTATGTTTCTATGTTTGGTAGCTATCGCTGTGTCGTCGGCATATAGACTTAGTAATGTACCTGATGTTCTAGGTATGTCTGCTATGTACATTGTGTACGGTAGAGGTGACAATACCGCTCCCTGTGGTACTACGTCCTCCGGGTTTCCGAATTCGGACAGGACTTGTCCTATTCAAACTCTGAAACTACGGTTGCTTAAGTACGAAGAGATTAGTCTTGTCATTGCTCCACTGTGACCGTATCTTATCATTTTATAAATATGTCATTTATGCCAGACTCTGTCGAAAGTTTTGCTTACGTCTAGAAAAGCAGCTCCTGTGTATTGTTTTTCGTTAAATCCAATCTATGTACTCTGTTAATCTGAGTACTTGTAGTTCACTGGAGTGCTCTGATCTGAAACCTAATTGTGCTTCGGGTATAATATCTAAACTATCTGTTTCAGCTTGGAGTCTGCTAAGTATTACTCTCTTTACAATCTTGCTGATTGCAGATAGTAAGCTTATTGGCCTATAATTTTGCGGTGCATAGATAAATTATACGAGAGGCTCTTAAGAGGGCGAATAGACACAGTGATTGAAGAGTCAGGCAGGCTGTCACTCAGGCAATACGGTTTCAGAAAGAACAGGAGCACGGTGGATGCTCTAATGAAAGTCTTTCGGGAGTTCCGGAGTAGGGGTTAATCAGAGGTGGGCAATCCTACTGTTGTTTGACGTCCGGAATGCTTTCAACACATTAAAATGGAAAGAGGTAATGAAGGCTCTACGAGAGAGAAGGTGTCCGAGGTACTTGATGAATTTGGTCTCCGACTATTTGTCAGAGAGGATAATTGTGGTAGAAAAAGGAGTAGTGGTTGACGTGACGGCTGGAGTGCCGCATGGGTCGGTCCTAGGACCCACGCTATGGAACTTGGCATATGACGGAGTTGTGAGCCAACAATATGGAGAGGGTGTAACCCCATTCGCATTTACGGACGACCTCGCTATGCTGGTAGTGGCGCGGGACAGGGAGGACCTTATCTTTGGTGCACAGCGCACATGCAACCAAGTTGAGGAATGGATGAAAATGCACGAGCTAGAACTGGCTGGGGGTAAGACCGAGGCTATAATTCTCAAGGAGCCAAGGAAAAAGGGACGGGATATCATTTGAATGTGCAGGAAAGACAGTGGTTCCAAAGAAATGCGTGAGGTATTTAGGGGTGACTCTGAGTCAAAACGGAAAGTGGAGGGAGCACGTAAAAGTTGTAACTCAAAGAGCAGCGGTGAGATCCGCAGCATTGGGAGGGATCATGCCCAACATCGGAGGGCCCAAAACTGAGAGGAGGAGGGCCCTTCATTCTGTTGCGCAATCGATCGTCCTCTACGCTGCGCTGGTCTGGAGTTCTGCAGTTTTAACAAAGGCGTACAGAAAACAGCTCATCCGAGTAGATAGGAAGAGCCTATTGAGGGTGGCGTGTGCATACAGAACGTGCATACAGAAACGATTCACTAATGAAGGAAAGAGGAAAAATATACGAGAGAAGAAATGAAGACATAGCAATAGAACGTTTAAAAAAAGAAAAAAGGGAAAGGTCCATTATGGTGTGGCAAGAGAAATGGGATGAGATGAGAAGGATGGCGCAGTGGACGAAGTCGTTGATTCCTAACATGAGAAAATGGATGGATTGCGGGCACCGGCGTTTGGATTATTTCCTGACGCAGATGCTCACAGGACATGGTTGCTTCAGGGCATACCTTTACAGATTTGGAAAGGTAGAAAATGACAAATGCCTGTATTGTGAAATATCGGACACTGTCTCACATACTCTATTGGTATGCGATAGATGGATAATTGAGAGGAGCCTGCTTGAGAGAGAGCTAGGAGGTAGGGTGCAATCAGTCACGGAACTGGTGATGCTTAGGTCGTCAGATCGGTAGAAAGCAGTTGAGAGATATGTGAGGAAAACATTGGAAAGGAAGGAACAAGAAGAAAGGCGACCCGAAGATAGGCAATGTGCCCAGGACCAAGCAAGAAGATAAGGCAGAATGAGTGAGATTTAACATTAATAAGGAGGAATAGAGGGAGAGAAGAATTCCGTCGTAGTGAGGAAGTGCTAGAATGCGTGAGAATTGTTCGTGAATGAAAGTTCGGGTGAATGCCGTGCCGAGGTTGCGTCCCAATCAGGGCGATCCGGCCGCTAGTCACCGCTGAGGAGAATGTTTTTTTAGCAGGTAGGTCTCTGGCTTGGCGGCGATAGGTCCGAACAACCCGAGCGAGCGGCTTCGGATATCATCGTGGCCACGCTGGACGAGTCCTGCATAACCAAGGCTGTTCTGCCCGCCTTCTAGGACCGAGGTATATTTCGAACATTTGGATTACTCCCCCTCATAAAAGAAGAAAAAAAGGCTCTAGACACTAGTGGAATTTTTGTGTTGCAGGTTTCCGACTATGAATCTGTCAAAATATGCCCGAGATAAGCGAATGGACCTTGGCATCCAGTTCAGTTTGACATAGCGTCAAAAATCAAATTCGCTGAGGAATTTATAGCATGTATAAAGAAAGTAATATAAGTTTCTATTATATATATATATATATATATATATATATATATATATATATATATATATATATATATATATTATATATATATATATATATATATATATAAACTTATTCTATAAGAAAGTTAGGCTAATTTAATTTATATCGTTGAGTTGCGTCAAATTTAGACAATCAACTTTTGAAGTTTTGTAGTTTTTAGCTTGAGCTTCTTGAGAATATTTTAAATAAACGTTTAATATTTTGCAGTTAATTTATTTCTTTTTAAAAAGTGATGATAATAATGCCAAATAAACAATATTTTAAATGATATATAATCACAAAACTTACTCAATATTGTGTTATATAATCTATTTAATAAAATACGTTAGATGAAAAAGGTAAAATCCCGGGTCGTCCAAAACTAGTTTATGATAGGAATAATAGAATATTAGTATAAGCCGTGCTATAAGTTTACAAAAAAGGTCGACGAAATGCGCTATGAGCACGTGTCCTTGTTGGTGTCCGCAAAAAAATAATTACTAAATTAACTAGACACTTCGGACTGGGAATAGCGAACCGAGTATATACTCCATTCGCTTATCTCGGGCATATTTTGACAGATTCATTGTCGGAAACCATCGGAAACCTACAACACAACAATCCGTACTTCTTAGTATTAATCAAGTAAACTACTATTGCAGTATTGCAGACTTCTTTCTTTGAAAAAAAGAAGAATTATTCTAAATAGTGGAAGTGTATACTAAACCTATCAAATTTTGGGTAAAAAATATATTTTAGATGTTATAATTTAACATAACTATTTACTACATGGTGCAGATAAATAAATATTGATTGTCGGTAATTCGCAAAGTTCTATTTTATTTATTATTTAGTTAGTTTACTAGATTCTAACTCGACGGTTTACTATTAATATTTACTATGAGTACGTATGCTTGGTTGTATAGTAATTTCCAGTCACTTTTAGTCTGTCAAAAAGTAACTAACTTCGCAAAAAAATAATTACTAAATTCAATAGACAGTTCGGACTGAGAATAGCGAACCGAGTTTATCTGTAATATGCAGAGATGTGTAATATCTACTAGAACGCTACTAGTGTCTAGAGCCTGACCCACTATTCTGTGTAGACTTGCGGAGTTCATTTTTATCCACATCTAAATGTGACAATGAGGTTTATGTGTATTGTTGGTTGCATAAGAATAACTCTAAAATTAATATTAACTAATAGCAAATAAAAATTAAAGATTTTCTAAAATAGTTTTAAAAAGTATTTTAAAAAAGACTTTTAGCGCATTGTTTCAAATAAAAATTTGTTATTTTATATACAGGATGTTGACTGATGTTATATATCAATTACTATCAAAACTTTCTTATTTTAAATGAAACATTGGTTAGGTATATTATAAATTTTTTGGATTATGCACAAAATTCCCAGAACTTTGATATATTGCATGTTATAGTTTTAATTATTTATTTTAGGATACAGGGTAGTTAATGAATAGATCACTCTCTGCGTGTCTCCTTATGACTTTAAAAGGTTCTATACCTAATTTCAATAAAGAAGAGCGAGTTCATTTTCGTATCTCAACTTGTTTTTAATAATGTATATAGTACTCTAAGATATGTACCTATATTCTTTTAAAATAGATATGTCAAATAAATGAAACCTGCCTATATTTTTTCCAGGTGTGAAATGGAATGTACATAAGTAGGTATCTTAAAGGCTATATATTTAAAAGTTAATATAGAAGGGATTGTGCCTTTAATACATTGTATAATCAAAACAGTTAAATAAAAGCATGGCAATCCATTATATTGATAAAGTTCGTTGTATTTTGTATTGTATCCAATAACTAAATAATACACCTTGTGTTCCATCGAAAATAATAAAGTTGGCATCAGTATTTACATGACATCACACTCTGTATAACACATTTTTATTGGAAACATATGCGCAACAAAAAATATTTAAAAAAACAGAGCTTTTCGAGGAACTATTTATTCATCATTTAATAAAATAGATATTATAAACCTCATTGACACTTCGGTGTTTAGAATACAAATGAACTGCGCAAGTCTGCACAGAATAGTGGGTCATAGTCATGCTCTAGAAGCTAGTTGGAATATCTCTGGTAATATTATGGAACTACATACCTGTAAAAAGAATTGCCTACTTTAATGGAATTTCACCACATTTCTTGGCCATAATTAAATACACCGTTTTGAAACTTCAGTATGTAGGATTAGCACAATTGAAAAATGAATTTGTTAGCACCATCTAATAAAAAAATATATTTTTAAGAATGGTAAACATCCTAAATATTTTATCAATGGCAATGTTAAAAATTATACAAAAATTAATTATCTTCTACTAACTTTAAACTTTGGTAATGATTATATTGATAATTTTATGAATTGGCATGAAATTTTAAAATTTTTATTTGGCACAAACAAAAAATAATTTAGTGACATTTGTCATTAAGTCGTTGGCAGTCCTGCTCCCTGACCCCTCTTAACATAACCTGTAAAATTCGTTTTACAGGATTATAATTTTGCTTCTAAAATGTCTACAAATTCTATAGAAAATGAGGTAAATTACTGTTTAAATTATTAAATTGTCATTAATTAAGCTCTTTACATAATTAAAGACCGATATTTTGCTGTGTTACCGAGGAAACAGAAAAACTTTCACATGATGATAAAAAACTGCCATATTGTCATTGTAGTTCCAAGAAAAAGTTGTATAAAATCGGTTTAGTGAGCTATGATCCCATTGATAGTTAAGTTGAAATAACAAATGACTTCCTTTCAGATCGACAAAAACGAACAGAAAAACGACAACGATTTAGAAATACCCATGGACTTTTCTATTAAACACCCATTACAAAATGCTTGGACTCTATGGTATTATGAAAATGATAGAACCCAGGCATGGGAAAAAAATCAAAAAGAAATTGCCACTTTCCAAACCGTGGAGGACTTCTGGAGGTATGCAATAAAAGGTTAATCTGGTATAAATGTCAAAATAGGGAGCAGTTGTTGATATTATTTTTAAGAAAAACTACCACATTGTATTCTTTAAAGTCAGAACTTATAGCTCCAAAGTTAATAATTGCTGCATCATGCTCTTCTCTAGCATAAGCATACAGTTCAATTAGTTATTTATATAGTCTAATTGAAATTCTAATGCAAATTGTAGTAAAATTAGTTTAAGTAAATGTTAATATATGTTAATATTCTTTAACAAGTTTTTAAAAAGAAATATACCAATAACAATATAATTTCTACATAAGTGAACAAAGATTCATACAATAATCAATTTCTGCTTGAAATGGTAGTATATTTCAAACTTGGGAAAGAAATATGATGGAAAGGTAAATCTGGTATAACTTGCATATAAATTCTAGTGCTTCAACTCAGGGTGCAATAGCCATCTTTTTAAATTTGAAGATTCAAGCACAAAACCAAATGGTGTAGATAAAGGGTACAAGTTGATGTTGACGTTGATAACTCCAATGCATAAAATAGATATAATATTAGTATTTATTATCCTAAGTAAATTAAAGCACTTGGAAGGTGAAGGTGCTATATTTCAAGGGGTAAATATGGTTTCACGTCTTCTTTTTTTTCTTTGCAGGCAAGCTGCCAATCTTCTCGTTTATTCTTGGAACTACGAAGTTTCAGGCTATAACACACATAGTTTTATTTTTGTTATTGGTAGACCTATTATATTGAATGCCCACTTTCTTGAACAGCATGATGGGGTTGTAGCTATATTTGAACAGATAACTGCCAAGTTTATCTATCCTTCTCCATTGGATGCTATTTTAAATTGAACAGTCTCTCCAAGGAGATATTTTTTCGGCTTGACTAGTTTTATAGATGTAGCTAATTCCTCAATGTTTCTAAAGTGAGGTTGTATATTTATAACCTGGTTTCCTTCGGCTTTTTGCAGTATTATCTGTTGATACTCATTTGGTAAAAACATTAGGTTGTTTCTGTAGGTTTTTTTTTCAATACAACCAAAGTCATGTTGTGAGTCTAGGTTAGAGTGAGCTACCTCTGAAAATTTATGGTCTATAGTTTTGAAGTACCTTTTCAAAATCAAGTACTGATATAGAAAGATAATCTGGAAATTCTTATTGTGACCACCACAAAACTTAGACCACACTTGCATATAATTTTTTTCTCAAAGTGTTCATCACTCTAAACCGCACTCAATAGTGAACTTGCAACTTCTATACTGCCACAATTTGCTATGTCTTTTGCCCATTTAAGAAATAGGCACCTGTCTACATTTTTTGTAATTATATGCAGGCCAAGATTGTAAAACCACATCTGTCTTTTTTAAAAACCTTTTGATGTGTAAAAATGAGGCAATAATGGCATAGTCTATTGTAGATCAATAGTAATATATTCAACATCGTTTAACACATTGGCACTTTCTCTGTCAGCTTTTTAATCCCCAAATGCAGATTTATAAAAATTAACATGTTCTTTTGAACATTGCTCACTATCACATGTACTATATGTATCACTATTAGTTTGTCCAATGGATAAATTGGATTCATCATTATAAATAAATCTGTACACGGACTCTTTTACTAAGAATATGTCTGAAACTTGGTCTAGTCTGCATTGCTCAATGTAAAGCTTGTACATTTTAAATACCTACAACAAAAGTGATAAGTATTTTTGTTTGGATTCTCAGCTCTAGAATAATGAGACACCTCAGCAAAAAATTAAGCAATATATTCCATAACATATTTTTTTACATCTGGATTAAGTTTAATAAGCCAGACATCTGTTTTTATACTTGCCCCATCTGTTTAAATCTGGTGCTGACAAACCTTTTTTTTTTTGTTTTTGATAAGAGATACTTACTTGCTTAAGTAGGTAGTGTACTTAAAAAAATCCAGTTTTATGCCTGATCGCACCCTTGCATTTTTGCTGAGGTTCACTTTTGAAATTGGTTTAAAAAGAATTACATTTTTGCTGTTCATTAAAGTCATTAAAAATTGAAACTCTTTTATCCTCGTTAATCCTAGTTGAACATTTTAATCAGTACTTCTCATTATAAATAATGTTATCCTCATTCATGCACTTGCCAGTAATCACTATACCTATATGAGATACATAACTTTCCCCACATTTCCCCGGCTTTAGCAGCCGCATATCTTTTTGCATTGTTTGTTTGTTTTTCTGTCACTTCCTGGACAATTTTTGTTTTTTTACTTGTGGTTCTACATCTAGATTAGTCTGGTCACCATTACTAGAGCTACTCACCACTCTAACCTATCCTCAACACACCTACCATTTGTTTTTGAAGTGTGAATTTCCTGGCTTACCACATCACTTTCCCTATCAGGCTGTGGATGTATTTTTGCTGCAGAATTTGTACTTGTTGAAGGGTATTCTAGAAAATTAGTTTTATCTTGACAAGAACAAAACCTTCTAGAAGAGTCTGATGTCTGAGTCTGGTACAAATTCATCACTTGATGGATTGTCAAAAATGCAACTCGCATCTTGGTCTTCACCTGAAACCAAACAATAATTATAACATTTTGTTTAACTTTTAACATAACTTCAAAATCATTGATGTGTGTAAAGCAATGTTATAATTTATTTTTAATGGTAATTAATTTTAGTATATTATTTTAGGCTAGTTATTTCATCAAGATTACCTTCATAACTGTCTTCTTTTTATTGCTAAGAGCCAGGTCTAGTGTTTGTTTACTTCTTCTCATCTCAACAAGCAGCTGCACCTTAGTTCACAAAGGCAACAAAGCACAGTGACTAAGTGGATGAAGGTGTTATGTGCTGAAGACACATAGCACCTTCTTCTTCCAAACATTCTGCATGTTAGTGTATCATAACCCCTTCACCAACTAACTAAATATTAAATTATGGCTAGAACGGAATGGTAGATGGTGCCATGAAAAATAATAGCACATAATGCCTTCATCTACAAAGATATCTAAATTTTCAAACAAAATGTATCAGAACACGTTCCAAGCCCTTCAATTATTTTAAAGTTGTTTGTGTTTGTACATAAAAAGTAAGTTATGCAAATTGCCAAAATTAATTGTAACTGAAAATAAAAAAATTTTCATGCAGATTATCAACTATTTGAAATTGCATCAATTAAAACACATACACCCTTCAGTGAAAAGATTATATTGATAATATAATATGGTTTCGTCAAGTTTCCATAAACAAAACATTTTGAATCTAGTCAGATGTTCAGCTTGATTTATTTGAGACTAAAATTTTGAAATCTTTGTATCCATAATCAACAATATTTCATCTTGTTACGAATGAGTGTTCCAGTCTATATGTTAACACATTGTGTGTGAATGACATTGAAACATGTAGTTCTCTTCTTAAGTCAGAGCCACATGAATTTCTTCAGTATATCATCAGCCTCTATATACATGAGGATTTTAACCCTCTAACTGGAAAATTTGAAATAGTGCATATTTTCATGTAGACATTTTTGTTTCTGGTTAATCTTGCTATGACAATGACGAATATGAAGTTCCCATAAAGATTTCCTTATTGGCTGATTCACCAGGTAAAAAATACGTAAAACATCCTCATGGACGACAAAATAGTTTAAGTGAAATAAAACAGCATATTTCGTTAAATCTATTTTTAACAAAATAACAGTCAAAGAAATTACATTATTTATATATGATAATCGTAGAAACAATTTTTTGAGTTAGAGCAACACAAATGTAGGTCGCACTTTTGGCACACATTGGCACGTCGACTCTCATCCTCAAACCATAAACATCTTTTGGTCAGTTCAAATTTCTGTAGCTTCATAGTGGACTGGATTGGTTGAAATGCGTTTTTCCCCAATAAATTTCCAAGTTTGGACACTTATAGATCGACATGTACAGCAAAATACTGATGTAATGATACATGTCCTCAAAATTTGTTGTGAAATTTGAGTTGGCAATAAAAGCAGCTCGATTTGTTTCTTCAACAATCAAAGTCATAACTTCTTTATTGAAGTAATAATTGAAATACTGCATTGGTGATGACAGATGAGTCACATTGTCAGGCAAATTGTTGTTGCCTCTGAAGGCTATTTCATTTATATGCAATTTCATGTTTTTTTTTCTCCATCGTATATTCGAAAACTCGGTTGAATCCTTCTTTATTGCATCTAAACCTGGAAAAACAGAAACAAATGAGGTGTCTACATAATTTCTTGATATATTTTTGACAATACCTGAACCGGTAAATCCACCTGCAGATGGCACAATTTGAGGTCCAGAAGACTGTATAACTGGTAATGGAGATCTCTTTGGAGCTTTCACTGTTTTTGCTGCTGTACTTGGCGCTAAAATATCTGCTTTATGTGGTGTTGGTTCCGGTATTGAAACTTCTAAACAATGTTCTTCAATATTACTAAAATCTACAGTTTCCATGAAAGTTTCACTGGACTCAGCTGTATTCATTTCTTCGATGCATTCGGAAATACACTGCTCATCTACCGGAGTTATATCAGTTGGTACATAATTTGGATCTGCAATGTCATCATCATCGTCGAAATCACCCTCCTCTTTTTCCTCAGAACTTTCAATACAGTTCATGAACTCCTGTCGTTCTTCTTCAGACATATCTAACAAATTATACTTCTTTTGTCTTTCCAATTCATTGTACTCTGATGTTTTTCTAATGAAAAATCGTTGTGGTAGCTGTCCGTCCATTGGTTATTGTTTTTGTCTTTCTACAAACCAACAAACATAAATTTATTGATAAAAACAACTCAAAATTCACAAAAAGTTTTATCAAGAACAATAGTGAATTAAAAAAAATTTCACGTAAACCGTTTTGTCATCCCAGAGGATGACAATACAATGTAACAAATACAGAGAACAAACTATATATTGCACAATATTGAACAATAAATTAGGAAAATATATGTATTTATATACTCACCACAAAAATTCCTAGTGTAATCCGATACTTAGATTTATCTATTACAATTTTTTTTTGTTCCTAATACGGAGCAATAATAAATACGTGTCTACTCACTTATTGTTCCTACTCGACTGGTAATACATTTTGAATGACGCATCATACAATTTTCAAACTGTCAACAATGTATTACTTTGAAACATACTAAAAGACGCCTAAACGGTTTGATCGACACAACATGTTACTTATTAAATTATTTGAATTAATGGAATGTTATCATCAGGGACGACTTACCGGTTAGATGGTTAAATGCATTAACTGCTATGCAATAAAATCATACTTTATAAGAAATATTCTTCAATTGTCCATTTAAGAAACTTTCACAAAAAAAAAATACAAATGGTGGTATATTATACTGTATTGTGATTGATGTATTGTAAATATTTTCTGTTTCTGTAGTAGCTATAACTAACTGATTATTGAGGCAAATAAAAAATTTAAAAATAAAAATAAAATTGTACTTTACATATTTTTTTCCATAAACTAGATTTTTGTTTGCTGACTTGTTCTGTGTATCAAGATAATTAGTGTGGTTTTTATTTATTTAGCCTTTATAACCACATCAAACCTTCAAGTGAATTGAGGCAAGGAACTGATTATTCCTTATTCAAGAAAGGAATTAGACCAATGTGGGAAGATGATGCCAATAAACGAGGAGGCAGATGGCTGCTCAGCTTAGAAAAGAAACAAAGAAACAATGATTTAGATAGATACTGGTTGGATATTGTAAGTATCATAAACATTGCTCTGTTATATTTATTGATAAATACTTATTTATATCTTTGTTGTTATTGATATATCAATATTGTTTTAAATGTAGACCAATCAATGCAGTAAAAAAGCATTTATTATGTAGATAACCAGCGGCGGCTGGCCAGCTGAAGTAGGTGAAGGTGAGGCTCACCAAAAAAATATAATTAAATTGAGACAAATAAATAAAAAATGAAAGCAACATTATTATATCTAAATTCTGAAATAAGTTATTTATTCTCTTTTAATTAATCTACAAATTAAAAAAGTCAACTAGCTTTATTAGCGGTAGGTAATTGATGGCCAAGTCCTGACCTGTGTCACTAGCCGTGTACGATTCAGGAATAGGTGAATATAATTTTTCAAATGCGGAATCCATCTGCATAAGCGTTCACGGTTGCCATGGCAACGTGACGTCAGCCTATCCAACAAAATGTACTTTTCTAAAGCTTTATCTTTTTATATTTGAATCATACAGCATCTACATCTACATTATAAAAACATGCCAACATTTTATATACCGAAATTTGTTGTTCCATGTTTGACATTTGCAGCTATAATCAGCTTGTACTTTCGGTAAACTCAACCCATTGTAATTAATCTATATTCTTATAAATATGAACTGGAGTCATCTAAAGTAGTAAATAAAATGTTAATATTATTTTGTTTACTAGCGATACATGTAAGTAATAGGACAATATGAGGGTCAAGTGATGCTATTGCACTATCATACATGCAGTGTTTAGAAAATTGACTATATGTTGTACACCCAAGTTTGATCATTTCTCTCTTAGTCTGTGTTACTTGACATTTATTGTTTTCTGTGATGTTTTAGTGTCCGGTCTAGACAACATTTCTAAATTGGTGTGATTGTTAAAATTAACATGTTGTGACAATTTCTTGCTGTTTATCAAAAATGCATATCTGAGAAAAATACTTGTTTTTAAACAGTTTCAAAATAATGTACACAAATTATCAATTGTATCTATACAATTCTTTTCTAAATTTATACATCCTATATAAGTAACTTCTTCTTTTTAGCCTTTTATCATCCATTTTTGGACATAGGCCTCCCCAACTCCTTCATTTGTCTCTATCCTAAGCAACATATTTCCAATTTCTTCAGAATATTTTTTTGATGTCATCTCTATCTTCACATCCTCAACTTTCCATAGAACTGACCTGACCTCGTCATGAAGACGCATAACATCTTCCACACCACTCATATCGTCTTTCTGGTCGATGAAATACTTTTGCCGTATCCAATGGCTGCTAAGGGGTCGGAACTGGTTTTGGCTCTACGTCCACTTCCGGGTCACTATTTTCTTCTTCTATATGAACTGCTTGTAGGATATCCTTGTCAGAAAATCCAGATGTTGTAGCTACATTTTTATCAACTTGTTCGAAATCAGTTAGCTCTTCCGGTCCTTAGGTGATAGGAAGTTCAAACTGTCTGGCCCAAGCAGCTAACGGCAGGTCATCTTCATTCTCAGTCAATCCTTGATCTTCCAGACATCCTGCGTGTTTGAAGGAATGTTTTATCGTATTGTTTATCACCCTGTGCTAGGATTTACTAATCATTAGAATGGCGTCAAGAACGTTTAGTTTAAAAAATCGCCATTGTTCTAAACCGATTCCATCAAAAGTCTTCTGCAATGGCTTTTTAAACTCTTGATTACACTTTGTCCATGGATTGAAAGACACTCATTTTTTTCACTGACAGGAAACTAACTTCAATGTTTTGAAGGTCGCACATTACAGGATGAGATAATTGTGTACACTGGATAATTGTTTACAAGCAGAAGAATTTTTCCCTTTACACTCAACATCTCGTTACGCACTCTTGTTTGGGTTTGTAGTTCCACTTGCTCAGCCAACCCTCAGATGCCTTAAAATTCTCAATTCTCAGCTGTTGTAAAAGACATAAGTTTTTGTCCTTACCACAGTATGGTTCATACGCTGCTGCTGGAACCTCTGAAGCATAGCGCTAAGGTTTCCGCAATTTCTTCCTGCTACCGCCCTCTTGGACACAACTGAAACTGGAAGTGAGAAGTCGTGAATTGAATTGACTATTGAACGTCGAAAAGTCTTCGCTATAAAGATAGAACGATATCGGTATAGAGAAAGAATTAATACATTGTCCTTTTGACGAACCAAACAACATTTCCTATTTTCATCGTTAAAGGGGAATAGGTATAGATAATTTTGTAAATAAGATAAGTCGTGTGATAAACAAGAATGCTGATAACATAACTAACATTTTTGTAAAGTTTCCAGAATTTTGGCCACTAGGGTGCATTTTTTATACATACATAAAATATACATTTATTTTTATAAATTGGAGTATTAATAGAAAATAAAGGAAACATACTTTTAGATATTATGCCTTATTGGGGAAGCCTTTGAAAATTCTGAGGAAATATGTGGAGCAGTTGTTAATATAAGGCAGAAGGGTGACAAAATAGGTAAGATATTATATTTTTAATGTTTTATTTAGAGACTTTATTTAATCACCAACAACTTTCTCCTACTATTATAACTGTTTAATGTTATTAAAGCGCAAGAAAAAAGTTTAAATACATATATTTAATACTGATATAAGGTTGAATGCTCGAATAAACGAACTTTGATCAAATAAAAGGAAAATATCGAGCACAGTTTAATTAATTTAATCTTGTCCAAGTACTTTCAATCATCTTCAGGGGCATTTCGTCAATTGCGGCCTATCCGACAAGAGTAGAATGTCATAAATATAAAATGGGACATCACATTACACTACACAAGGACAAACAAACACTTTAATTAAAAAAAAAAGCTTCAATGTGTACAGAAGCCGGAGACAGAATCTGTAGAATCTCTAGAGGGAACAGACAGACTTGACTATGTCAGTATTTGTAGCATACCTCGTTATTAATATTTAAATGGGAATAAGCCACAATTAAAGGTTAAAGTTAGTTTATTGACGTTTCAATTTTCGCTTCGGAAATAGTTCTCGTGAGAATCTCGTCCCCATCATCCCATAATAATTTTAAAAGTTCTCGGCTTCTTTCTCGTTTGTTCTATCATAAAACTGATATCTGCAGAATGAAACGTAATATTTGCTTTCGACGGTTTCCGTTTCTATCATTATAAGTTCCACCTGCTTCATTTGTCATAGGCTGTGTTACTCCAACACTTACACCTTTTCTGACTGACTTCACTTCATTAAGAATTTCCTTATTTGATTCCTCTTGCCACTTCTGTCCATTTCCCGGATTTGCTGTTCTAGGTAGCTCCTCTTTTTAGTTCTTAATAGTCGCCTTGTTTGTGCTCTTGTTCTGTTAAAATCTGCTTTGTTCTCATATCTGGGGTCTTGTAGCATTTTCAATCTTTTTTTCGTTTGTATTTCCAGAATTTCCTTTGTCAAACCATTTCCGTTTTGGGCAAGTCCTCTTTTTTCCAATGGTTTCTTTGGCTGCTTGTTCTATAACTGACGCCACTTGCTGCCATGCTTGTTTCAACTCTACATTATGCTCTTCCTCTCCCAGCAATTGGAATCTGTTGCTTTGTAGGGCTTCTATGTTCCATATTTCTCATTTCCCTTTTTGTTTCAGTTTCTGTATTGATAATCGCGTTCTTAACTTAGATTTCAACAGAAAGTGATCGCTATCGCTGTCAGCTCCGCTCATACTTCGCGAATTAATAATGCTACTAGAGTGCCTTGCGTCAATGAGGACATGATCTATTTAATTTCGTGTTCTTTCATCATTTGAAACCCATGTGACCTTGTAAATGTCCTTTCTCTCGAATTGGGTGGATTTAACGATCATTTTATTAGATATTGCGAATTGTGTTCGCCGGTGTCCATTATCATTTTTTGTGTCGTGCAAGCTATGCTTACCAATTCATCATCATCACAGTCATTAACATCTTAGTAGATGTGTTGTGGTTCATAATTGGGCTTCAGCAGCTCGGACAGTTTGATTGATAATATTTCTCCACTGGTCGCGGTCATCAGTTATATGTATTGCCTCAGTATACTGTTTCTTGATAAGCTTTTTAGTAATGTCCGCCCATCGCTGTGGAGATCTTCCTCGTTGGCGTTGAGTCTGAGGCCTTCCTTGGACCACCAACCGCTCCATTTGTGATCACTTCGATGGATATGGCCAAAGAACTTTAAAATTCTAGAGTAAACGGTACTGGAGAGACGCTGATCCGGTTTAATTTCATCCAGAACCGAGATATTTGTACGGCGAGCCGTCCATGGAATTCGAAGCAGGCGTCTCCATGTCCACATTTCAAAGGCGTCTATACGTCGTCGATCTGATTCTTTGACTGTCCATGTCTCGCATGCATAGTAAAATATGGAAAAGACCAGAGTTGAAACGAGTCTCTTTTTGTTTGTCATAGTAATGTGACGATCACGCCAGACCCCGTTTAGTTCACTCATTGCTGCTCTTGCTAGTTGAATGCGTCTTCTAATTTCTGATTCACAACTGCCTGTGTTTTTAACTAGAGCTCTAAGATATATCATAGATGAGACTACCTCGCATCCCGCAATAGTTTGGGTTTCAGGAAACTGTTGTTGGCGATCAATAACCATGATTTTGGTTTTGTTGTAGTTAACCATGAGTCCAAATTTAGCACTTTCTACCTCGAGTTTTTTTAATAATTTAATAATTTCTTCTGGAGTAGAGGCTAGAAGTGTAGTGTCATCTGCAAAACGCAAGTTAGATATCTTAACACCACCTAGGTTTACTCCTCCCTCCCAACCATCCAAAACTCTGCGCATTATGAACTCCGAATAGATGTTAAATAATAAGGGAGATAAAATGCATCCTTGGCGTACTCCCTTCTCCAAAGTGCATTTGTCAGACAGATATCCGTCCATTCGAATATATGACAGGTTATCTTGATACAGTTTGCTAATAAGGTGAGTCAAGTGTTTAGGTACACCCATTGTCGTCAATATGTTCCATAGTTTGTCCCATCTAACATTATCAAAGGCCTTTGTATAATCGACGAAACATATAAATATGGGGATCTGGTATTCTCTGGCTTTTTCTATGATGTTTCGTACATTAAGGATTTGTTTTCTAGTACCTCTGCCCTTTACAAATCCAGCCTGCTCAGGTGCTATTTGCCAACTTATGAAGTTTTCTAGACGCCGTTGCAGTATGTAGAGCATCACCTTACTGGCGTGTGATATTAGAGCTAATAGCCTGTAGTTGTTACAATTATTTGTTGAACCTTTCTTATGAAGAGGTATGATTATGGTCTTTCTCCAATCCTCAGGCCAGACGCCTGTGTGCCATATTTCATTGCACAATCGATGTAATATTTTCACTCCACATTCCGGAAGATGCTTCAAGACGTCTGCAGTAATGAGATTATATTCTGCTGCTTTGTTTAACTTAAGTCTTTTTAAAGCGAGTTCCACCTCGGAAAAAAGTATGTCAGGTTCAAACTCAAAACTAGTGTGGTGTGTCTCTGTTGAAGGAGAATGGAAAGTGGAGGTCTGGCAGTCAGGTACAAACGGGGCGTCCGCTGGCATCTGGTCCGTATTGGCGTATAACGACTTACAATACGCCCTCCAAACATCAATAACCTTGTCCAAATCCGTCTGTACATTACCTTCATCATCTTTGATAGACCAAGATTTCTGCTTGAATTTACGTGTGAGTTGTCTGACTTTATCAAAGAGTTCTTTGGTGTTATTTGTGTCGGCGTGTAGTTGAATTTCTTTGCAGATTTTCTCTATATGCTTGTTTTTTTCCCGTCTACAAGCAGCCTGAATAGCTCTAGATAGCTGTCGGTACTGGGAATTCCTGAGAGGGTTCTCGATTCCAGCAATTTTAAGTTTTCTACGTTCTTCAACGAGGTCAAAAGTATCTACAGACATCCACACTTTTTTTGGTCCGGTTGAGACGGCATTAGACTGTGCCTCGCAGTCAGTCAAGGTCTGTATCAAGGTATTTTTAAAAGATAACCAAATCTTTTCGGAATCATGAGTGACGATAGTTGGTAAAATATTTTCGAATCTTTCATTACATTGAATTTTAAATTGTTGTGTATCTTTTATTTTTGATATCCTCTTGTTTCGGATCCTAGCACATGCCTTGAATTTTTGCTTTAGCGTTGCAACAAGTTTGCTTACCAATTACTTCTCTTAAATAATCTTCCTTACTTAGTTTAGCGCTGCAATCTCCCATCACTATTTTGACGTCCTGTTTTGAAGCAGCTTTATACTGTTGGTCTAATAATTCATAAAATTCATCCTTCCTATTTTCTTCGGCATCTTCTGTTGGGGCATATATTGAGAATATTGTGAGATTGAACCACTTACCCTTGAGTCTAATATAGCAGATTCGTTGGTTTATTGGCTTGAAATCTATCACTGCGGATTTTAGTCTTTTTGCAATGACAAAGCCACATCCGTATTCATGTATATTCTCACTACCAGACCAAAAGACTATAGTATCTTCCATTTCCAGAATTCCCGTTGCTGTCCATTTTATTTCTTGTATTGCTGTTATATCCATGTTATATTTTTGTAGTTGTCTAATGGATCTCGTGGCTATCCCAGGTCTGTGCCAACTTAACACATTCCACGTTTCTATGCAAATGTCCTTATTTCGTTGCGAGTGTTGTTTATATTTCCTATCCATCCTGTCCTGAGGCAATTGTTTCTGTTTCGTGGCTCCAAATTTTCACATGTACGGAACGCCAACCCATAGCACAACCCCCTTTTCGGAGGACCATTTCACCCGCTCTCGTCAGTTCCCGACCCAACCTTCCAACGGGTTGTATACCGGATCTCCAATTGGGTTGCTCGGTTTAACAGGACCAGAGTCGGATTTGAGTAGAAAAGGCTAAGTGGAGTAAACTCGAAGCAACTTCATGATTTCGCTTTCTACCCATTTATATCCCAACATTGATTCTGAATGTTATTTTTATTTGAGCCCATCACTTCAAGATTTTTTACAATATAAAACAAAAACTATTTGAGATATTTTGTACTAGAGCAAAGAAGTACTTTATTGGCATATTCCACATCATGGTGGTTATTTATTGATACTTCTAAGAGAAGTCTGAAGGATGTCATGTTGCACAATAGTAATACTTATGCCTCGGTGCCTGTACTCCGTGCATCTTAAGGTCGTGGCATATTATCATGCACGTTGCGTTTCCAGCCCGTAGCGCTTAGTTTCCGAAAAATATAATATTTAAATGGTTTAAAATATGAACAATTCATACTGTCCGGAACGTATAGTATCAGACACCTAACGTTTCCATTCAGTATATTCGAATACAATATTTTCCGGATGCCTACGGCTTCAGAACGAGTCTAAATCTGTTGGTACGGATAATGTGAATTTGGGGTTCGTCGTTGTCTCCTCGTTGTTTATTTAGATATTTGTTTGATTTAGATACAGAATATTAAAAAAATAATTTTCGAGGCTATTTTGTCATTTATGCATGTGTT